AAGGCTCACGAACTGCGGCGGAACGACCCGAAGTAGTTCAGTCGCACACCGACCATCGTCGAGTCAACACGAATTCAATGCTCGCTATTCTTCTTTTCCCTAACTCTCAATTTTTCTTTTTCAAACTAAAAAAAATTCTGAATATTAAGGTTTTTATTTATTTATACAAAAAAGAATATAAGATAACTGTTTTTTTTTATTTTTAAAATTTTTTTTTATTATTATTTTTCTTCAATTACGAGTTTTGTTAATAATACGAGTTTTGTTAACATTAATTGCTCATCAAATGTTAGAATTTTTTTGTTTTAATCAAATTTGATTTTTAGTTAATAATAATTAAATATTTAAAAATTTAATTTTTAGTTTATTATTGAATGAAATAAAGTTAATTTTCAGTTATTAATTAAATTACTTTTTATCAACAAATTTTAAACTGATTAAATAAATTGTTGCCGGTGTTGACAAACAATTAATTATTAATTCAAACCGAAAATTATAACAAATATTGATGAGCAAATTGTTATAAACAATAAGATATTAATTAATTTTGTTGTGTTAGAAATAAGTCGACACGAAATGAGGAAATAGAGAGACAGAGAAGAAGCGCTTGCTTACGATTAATGTTCAGTCGACGGCAGTCGGCGAGCGACTGACCCACTTCGGTCGAGTCCGGCGCTCTTCGTGCGTCCTCGCCGCCAGGGTCGTACGCCCCCAACCAGGCGCCCTTTTTACAAAATTTCCTTTATTTTCCGTTTCTTACTAAAATTTTTACTTATTACCACTATTTGTCACTATTCTCATTATAAGCGTAACTATTCTTTAATTTTACTACAAAAAATGTATTATGAAAAGTTCTTATCTTCTTTGAAAATAGAAATCAAAAATTTTTTTGCCTCTAGAAAAGGGGAATAAATTTATTTCGATTTATTTGCCTCTAGAAAAGGAAAAAAAAATTTTTTGACTCTAAAAAAGGGAAAAATTTTTTTTTTTTTTTAAGAGAGAAAAAAAAAAAAGTTTTGCGAGAGGCGCGCAAATATTACACGTCGTCGTTGACAGAAAAGTAGGTTTTCAACCAAGGCACCACTTCAGAGAAGGAACCCAAGTATTAAATTCATTCTCGCCATCCGTTGGCGCGTTGCATATTAAAATCTCTTCCCACACCTGGAAAACTCAACAACGTTCTTTGCGGTTGGCCCTTACTCTTCTGTCAAAGTAATTAAACTGTAACAATGAAGCCATACTCGCCTCGTAATACCGTCGACTTAAAAGCCAAGGTGTACGGCTAAATTTTCCAACTTCCCCCTCCCCTTAAACCCCCCCCACCTCTTTTTTTTCGCCATTTTTCTTTCTTTTCGTAAACGTTCTATACTCGCTGTTTAAACCAAACTCACAAGGTCTATAGAAAACAATTAAATTTGCTCGGAGAATTTTTTTTTCTTTTTTTTAAAGAAGGTAAAAAATTTTTCACGTTTTTTTTCTAGAGGGAAAATAATTTTTATCATTTTTGTATTTTATTCGTTATTTCGAATTATATTCAATAAAACGTTGAGAAAAAAAATTGCCAATAAAAACTGTAGAAGAAAAAAATTTTTTAATTAATTATTATTATTAAATAAATTAATAATAATTTAGTAATGAAATTAGGGGCCCCATGTATTTAATTTTCTTAAATTGATTTTAATTTTTTAAATAAATTAATGTTAATTCAGTAGGTAATTAAATTAATTTTTTAAAATTAATATTAATTAAGTAATTAAATTATTTTTCAAAAATTAATATTAATTTATTAATTAAATTATAATAATATAGATCTATGGGATGATCTTGATAACGTCCTTCTTTATTAATTATTTAGAATGTTGGAAAAAACGATCTCCAAAAGGACATGTCAATTAAAAATTGTCTCAATTTGACGTTTCGGAACTGGATCCAGTTCCCTCTTCAGAATTTATTATATTTTACTCTTTCTAAATTAATTAAATTAATTTTTTTAAAATTAATATAAATTAATTTTTTAAATTAATATAAATTAATTTTTTAAATTAACGTTAGTTTAGTAATTAAATTAATTTCTTAAGTAAGTTAGTATTAAATTGTTAATTAAGATAATTTTTTAAAATTAATATTAATTTAATAATTAAATTAATTTTTCAAATTAATTTGGTAATTAAATTAATTAAAAAAAACACTAGTAATTAAATTAATTTATTTTCCGAATTTTTTTTTTTTAATCAAAAAATAATCAAATCAAAAAAAACTTTTTAGCAATGAGATACAAATTTTTGAAAAAACTTTATTTTATTATTTATTTACATTTATTTATTTAATTATTTATTTAATGTTAATTATTTAATTAATAATTATTCAACTACCTATTTAATTATTTTCTTTTTATACTTATAACAAAGGGCAATATTACTGTACAGAATATTAGTTTGGAATATTAAAGTTATTATTGCAGAAACTATTAATATGGAATATTTAAAAATTTAACTATGGAATATTTAAAATATCATTGTGGAATATTAGAGGAAAATTACTTTTTCCAATATTTCCGTAATATTACAAATTTTTTTCTAAGTTATTTTATAGTTATTTTTAGGAAATATTGGACAAATATTTTTTAAAAATATATCAGTAATATTTCTTGTGGAAAATTTCAGAAATATTCCAATGGACTATTTTTAGAAATTTTTAAGGTAGGAATATTTCATTGGAAATATTTTTATAGAACAATTTGAATATTGCAGTGGAATATTTTTAATATCCAAGGTAGGAATATTCCAATTAATTATTTAGAATATTCCAAGTAGGAATTTTCCAAGTTGAAATATTCGAATGGATTATTTTTATATGGTTTTAAGTATCTAATATTTGAAAAATAATTTTAATAGAATATTTATATTACAATATTTTGATTAGGAATATTTCGATGGACTATTTATTAATATTCCAAATAGGAATATTTTAAGTGGGAATATTCCAATGAAATATTATTATATGGTTTTAAGAAATATTTCAGAAATATTTTCTATAGATTATTTAGAATATTCCAAATAGAAATATTCCAATGGATTATTTAGAATATTCCAGATAGGAATATTACAACACATTATTTTCAGATTGTTTGAAGTAATATTTGAAAAATAATCTTTTTATGTAGAATTTTTAGAATATTTCTGGTAGGAATATATTTCAATTGACTGTTCAGAATATTCCAACGAGGAATATTTCAAGTGGGAATATTTCAATTGACTATTTAGAATATTCTAACTAGGAATATTTCAAGTGTGAATATATTGCAGTGGATTATTTTGAATATCCTAGGTAGAAATATTCCAAGGATATTGCAGGCAGGAATATTTAAATATATTATTTTGAAATGGTTTTAAGTAATATTCAAAAAATATTTTTTATAGAATGTTTTTAAAGAATAATTTAGAATATTCCAAATAGGAACATTGCAGAAGATTATTTGGAATATCTCAGGTATGAGTATTCCAAATAGGAATATTTTTTATATTGTATTTATAAAATATTCCGAATATTTCAAGTAGAAATATTTTAATTGACTATTTAAAAAAATATTCCGTCTAGGAATATTTCATTGTATTATTTGGATATTATTTTAAGTAATACAATATTCTGGACAATTTTTATAATGTAATATTCGCAAAGAATATTTAGTTTATTATTGTAGAGTATTGAGGAATATATTATTATGGAATTAGGATAAATATTATTATTATCATGAATATTATTATGGAGTATTATGAATATTAATATGGAATATTTAGAAATTTATTATTTTGGAATATTTTCAAAAATTAAAAATATTTCTTTTAATTGTTTTTTTTTATTATATGGAATATTTTATTAATATTCTTAAGGTATACTTTAGTCTTGACTTTAGTAATATTACTTGTGGAATATTGAAGGAATATTCCATTGATTTATTAGGATAAAACTTTTAGTCAAAAGATATTTTTGTAACATTCTAATGGAATATTCGTATGGAATGTTCTGGAATATTCGTATAAAATATTCTGTAATTTTCGTATGGAATATTCTGTAATTTTCGTATGGAATATTCTGGAATATTCCTACGGAATATTCCGTAATATTTGTATGAAATTTTCTTGATAAGTATTTTGGAATTTTTTGCAATATTATTGTGGAATATTTTAATGCAATATTATATGGAATATTTTGGAATATTATTATTAAATATTCAGAATTATTGTTGAGAAATATTTCAGTAATATTTTTGTAATATTTTTCAAATATTTTTGTAATATTCTTAACATATTATTAAAAATAAAGGAAAAAAATGTTTATAAATTATATTTGTCAATTAGAAAATTTAATTGAAAATGAAACTGAAATTTTTTTAATTTTTAGAAAATAAAGGAAAATATTTAATTGAAAATAATATATTTAAATAAAATTATTCATTAAATATTGTATGAAATTATTAGGTAATAAAAATTATTTTTCAAAATGCAGTAAATTATTGATTAAAAAAAAAGATAATTATAACAATTATTCTTTTATTTTTCAAATAATAATCAAATAATAATTTTTCAAAAAATAATCATGTGAATTTGATTTTTGAAAAAAAATATTTGAAAGAAATTTTAATTTTTGATATTAGTATATTTTCTAATGTAGCAATAATGTATTTGCCTCAGTTAATTTTATTTTGTGAAATTAAAAGAAATAATAACTTGTCGACACATGAAAAGGGAGAGATAAAAATTTTTTTTTTTCTTTCCTTTTTCAAATTAAGAGTTTTGTATTCATTGCTGTATATGTATGACCTTACCAAGGATTTGTTTTGATTTTGCGGTTTAGTACAAGTTTGAAATCGAGTTGAGCTAAATTCTCAGAATTTCATTATATACCTTATTTCAATATTCTCATACATTTTTTTTTCTCTCTCTTAATCTCTTTCTCTCTCTCAATCACTCTCTCTCCCCTTCTCCCTTTTTTCAATTTTATCCCCTCAGTGTCGCGTGAACTCTCGATCGTTGCGTATCGTTCAAAATTCACAAACTATTTAAAAATTTATCTTTTCAAAAAGCCCTTTTCAAATAGAAATTATTATTTATCATCACTTCAATCGTGTAATTAGTGCTTTTCTTTTCTTAATCGCGAATATAATTCCGTGATATTCACTTTGCTCTTTTTTTTTCATCGAAAAAAATTTACTGGTGCGTAAAAAAAATTGGACAATTATTATTTTTTTTCTTTCTTAATAGCAGTTCTTTTTTTATTTATTTTTTGAAAACAATTTTTGCCCTAGTTAACAAAATAATAGGAAAAAATATAAAATTATTTTAAAAAAAATTTTTTTACATTAAATTAATTCAAGTTTAGAAAAATTATTTTGAGAAAAAAATTAAAAATATCCTTTTTTTTATTCTGAACGAGAGAAAAACTCTAGTAATTAATAAATTATTTTCAAAAAAAAAAAATTAAAACTATAATTTTTTGCTTTTTTGATTGTAGTGATTAGAAAGAGAAGTGGGGGGGGAGTTTTCTTTTGCAAAGAATAATGAATATTTATTTTTTTTGCTTTTTTATTGTAGAAAAGAAATAATGAGGGTAATTTGTAAATTATTTTAATAAAAATTCAAAATGTAATTTTTTGTATTTTTTCAATATGGACTAAAAAGCAGGGAGGGGAGGGAGGGAAATTAATAAATTTTTCCTAATTAATAAATTATTTCAAAGAAACTGTGAAAAATAATTTTTCAATTTTTTTTGTAAACAGGTAGGCGGGGGGGGGGGGATATAGTAATTTAAAAATTTTACTAATTTGTAAATTATTTTTAAAGAACTGAAATTTTCCTTTTTTAATTGTTACGAGGGGGTGGAAAGGGTAATTACTAACTTATTTTGATAAAAATTAGCAACAGTATTTTTACTTTTTTTTTAACGTAAACGAAAAAAATAGGAGGGGGGTGGGGATAATTAAAATTATTTTTGCTAATTAGTAAATCTTTTCGAAAGAAATTTAAAATATTTTTTCTTGCTTTTTTTATTGTAGGAGGGGGGGGGGGGAGAGGATAATAAATAAATTATTTTCAAATAAATTTGAATTATTATTTTTTGTTTCTTTATTATCAACAATAGAGAGAGGGAGGGGAGGAGGGTTTCGTAATTAAAAAATTTTGCTTATTAAATTATTTTTAAAGAACTAATTCATTTATTTTTTCCTTTTTTAATTGTTACGTGATGGAGGGGGCAGAAGGGTAATTAATAAAATATTTTCCCAAAAATTAAAATTATCATTTCTAATTTTTTTTAAAGTCGACGAAAAATTAGGGAGGGGGAGGGTAATTAAAATATTTTTGCTAATTAGTAAATTATTTCGAAAGAAATGTAAAATATTTTTTCTTCCTTTTTGGGAGGGGGGAGGGGGTTAAAACGGTAATAAGTAAATTATTTTAAATTAAAAAATATCACTTTTTATTTATTTTATTTATTTTTGTTATTCAGGAGGGGAAGGGGGTAATTATCATTTTTCTAATTATCAAAATTTTAAAAAAAATGTGAAATATTTTTTTTTTTTTTGCTTCTTTTAAATTAAAGGGGTAATTAGAGTAATTAAAAGATTAGAGTAATAAAAATTATTTTAATAAAAATTAAAAATTTCATTCTTTTTTGCATTTTTTTAATCTTAAAGTTGAGGTGGAAGGGAGTAATTAAAAAATTTCCATTAGTATAATAAATAATTTTGAAAGAAATTAAAAATATAATTTTTTGTTTTTTAATTGTGAACAGAAGAGGGAGGAGGAGGAGGAGGGGGGGGGGGATGAAAAAGTCATTCATAAATTTTGCTAATTAGTATAAATTATTTTTAAATATTTAAAAATAACCTTTTTTGCATTTTTATCGTAAACGAGAAAAAGGGAGGGGGAGGACACAGTAATTAATAAATTTTGCTAATTTGTAAAAAATTAAAATTCTTTTTTCTTTTTTAATTATTGAGAGGGGGAAAAGGGTGAGAATTATTATAAAAGAAAAAAATATTTTTTTGTTTTTTTATTGTTGCAAGGAAGGGGGGATAATAAATAGAAAAGAAAAAAATTTTTTTTGTTTTTTGATTGTTACGAGGGGGGAGTAAGTAACTCAAAAGAAAAATTGTGTTTGGTTTTTTAATTGTTACGGGGAGGGGGGGGGGATAATTAAAAACAAATAAATATTTATCTGTTATTTTTAACTTGCGTTAAAATTAATTTGTAAATTATTTTGCTAAAAATTCAAAATAATTCTTGTAAAAATTAAAAATATCATTTTTTCAGTTTTCTTTAATGTGGACAAAAAAGTAGAGGGGGGGAGAGTAATTAATAAATTTTTGCTAATTAGTAAATTATTTCAAAAGAAATGTAAAATATTGTTTCCTACTTTTTTATTTTTGAGAGTGAAAGAGAGTAATTAGTAAATTATTTTAATAAAAAATAAAAATATCACTTGTATTTATTTTCTATAGGAAAAGAAAGGGAAGGTGGTAGTTAACTATTTTCTATTTAGTAAATTAATTTTTGAATGGTATATACTATATATGAAAAATTTTTTTTTCTTTTAATGTAGAGAGGGGGAGAGTAAATAATAATTTCGATAATAATTGTGAGAGGGGGGTTAATTAATAAATTTTTCTAAAAAAAGAAATAAAATTTTTTTATTCCAGGTGGTTAGTGGGAGGGGAGGGGGGTAATTAATAAATTTTCTATAATTATTAATTGAAAAAATTCAAAATAATAAATAAATAATACTTGAATTTGTCTAACGATAAAAAAAAATAAAAATTGATTTGAAAAAAAAAATTTTTTTATGTTTTTTTTTTAGTGAAACAGTGAGAAAAAAAAGAAAGTGAGAAAAAATGGTGTTTCCCGAAAAGTACATAAGATCGCTAAAAAGCGAATATGGTTATGCCATGGACGTCGATGTCAACAATAATATTTCTTTTGATTTGCTGAATCAAACTGCAAGGTAATTTTTATTTCAATCATTTTTTTTATACTTTTTTTTTTGTATAATTATTTTAATGAATTTCTACTAATAAATTTTTGTAATAATAGGTAATGATTTTTTATTAATAATAATTATTTTAATAAACAAATAAATAAATTAATAATTAATTATTGTTGTTCATAATATTTATTACCATTATTATTATTATTTTTAATTATTTATTATTATTATTATTATTATTAATATCATTATTATTTTATACAATGAATATTTTTAATAATAATTATTTTTAATTATTATTTCAATATGCAAATAAATTAATTAATAATTAATCATTGTTATTCTTAATATTTTATTATAATTTTTAATAGCAATTTTCTTTATTTTTTCCTTGTAATAATAATAGTAATTAACCCTTTTTAAAATATTTTATTTAATTCTTTAAAAATATAAATAATTTTTAATTTTATTGTTTTAAAAAAACAGAATCAGAAAGAAAAAAGTAAATAATAATTGCAAAAAAATTAAATTATCATGAAATTTATTATAATTTTTTAATAATTATTATTTTCTTCATTTATTTTGTTTATAAAATTATTTAACTTTTTATTTTACAATAAATTTTTTTTGACTTATTTGAAAAAATACTATAAACCATTATTAATAAATTATTTTTTCTTTAGAAAATTAAAATTTTTTTGTTTTATTTCAATTTTTTCTAGTTTTGTTGATTTTGTTTTCCCTTTTGCTTTTTTCATATTCTACTGAGAATTTACGAGATCGATCTTTGTTTCGCTTCAAAGAAGTCGTATATATCTTTATTTTTTGCTTTCAATTTTTTTTTTCATTTTATATATTACTTTCATTTATTATACAAACGGTATCCATAATGGTTTTCTTAAATATTATTTATTTATATAATTTATAATAATTTTTTTAAAATTATAATTAAAATAAAAACAATATTTGCTTTTTTTTAAAAAAAAATTTTATTATTATTTTGCTATAAAACAATAACCAAAATTTCATTTCATTTCATTTGTAACAATAATTAACTATAATAATATTAATAATAATAAAAAGAATAATAAAAATAGTAATTTTAAGAACAAAAAACAATATTAATAATAATAATAACAATAACAATAATATTAATATTTTTCTAATAATTAATTGATTAGTATTTAAATTGTAGAAACAGCTTAACAATAGTAATATTTTCACAGGAGAATAATAACACTCCAATTGTGAATACACCCTAAATATAATAGTTCCCTTACAATAGTAGTGCTAGTTACGAATACACCTGACTATTAATAAAAATAAAAAAATAAATTTTTATATAATATAAAATCTAATAAATAAGAAAAAATTAATTATAATAATATAATAATTATATAATATTAATTTACAAATTATAAAAAAATTATTAATATAGATTTTTTTTATAATAATATTAATTTATAAAATAATACTTGAGTTGTAGAAACAACTTAAAGATAATGGTATTTTCACAACACTCCAATTGTGAATACACCCTAAATGTAATCATATTCGTAGAATAGTAAGGCGAGTTATGAATACACCTTAATATAATTAAACATTAAAAAAAAATTAAATTTTTATACAATACTACATATAACAAACGAGAAAATTTTTTAATTATAATATCATAATAATACAGCATTAATTAATAAATTATTCAAAAAAATTTTTATAATAGTACTTGAATTGTAGAAATACCATAAAAAAGAATTGGTTTTTTAACAAGAGAAAAATATTATTACTTTTAAAATTATGCCAGTATTATTGCTCCAATTGTGAATGCACCCTAAATATAATACAATAGTAAATTCATTTATGAGTATACCTTAAAATTAATGGTGCTTCTACAATAATATCATAATATACAATGAAAACATCAATTCAATTTAGAAAAAAAATTTAATAGCACTTGTACAGCAGTAAACCATTAATCCAATTGTGGAAATACCCTTAATTTATTGTAGTTTATTCAAAAATTATTTTACTTTAGTATAATTATTATTAATTAATAATAATAATAATAATAATAATAATATAGAAATAAATTTTTGAATATTTATTTTCATTCTTTTTGGTTCTTTTTCTCTCTCTTGCCCTGTTTCAATGTATAATGGTAAATAGTTTGAAATTTTGCATTTCAAACTGATATTATTTCGTTGTCTCTTCTATTTCGATCATAGCCTTATCTCACACTGAGTTTGAAACGTGAAATAGTGTATTGTGTCGAGTGGGTTGCCGGGAGTCATGGGATAAAATCGTCGTCGTGGTTGGTTATAGGTTGGTTTGTATGGGATAGGTGGAAGAGAGTGTGAGAGAGGCGAATGAGAGGATGAAGAAGTAGAGTAAAGGCATAGGGGGGAGGGAGAGGAGAAAAGGTGGTATCTGCATTCCAGCCAATGAGCACGTCGGGTCACGTGGACCTTGCTTCCGGTTCCTCTTTTTCTTCCTCGACTTCCGGCAGTCAACCCCACTCTCTCACCCCTCCCTTTTCTATCACTCCCTCTCACTCTCTCTCTCTCTCTCTCTTTAACCACAAGCTGAGTTTGTCCACCCTTTGCGTGTATAATCTTTTTCTTCTTCTTCTACATTAAACGTTTATCTACTCTTTATTTATCAGAAAGAAAGACATTTTTTTTCTATTTATTATCTTTTTTTAACTCTATTTTTCTTTATTTCTCACTATTTACTTTATTTTATACTTCATTTTCTCTGTATACTCTTTTTTTATTCTATTTTTCCTGTTTTATTGTAGAAATGGCGTAAATATAGTAGTTCAGTATTAATTCGATTGTGAAAGCACCTTAAAAAGTAATGCCACTTGTGCCATTGCCGATTGTGGAAGCACCCTACGAGTTACGGTTCTTTGAAAATAGTTCAATGTTTGATTGTGAAAGCACCCTATAATGTAATTCCACTTGTGGAATTACCGTTTGTGGCAGCACCCTACAAGTTCTGGTACTTTGACAATAGTACAATGTTCGATTGTGAAAGTACCTTAAAAAGTAATGCCAAGTGTAAAATTGCCGATTGTGAAAGCACCCTATAAGTTATTTTACTTCGACAACAGTACAATGTTCGATTGTGAAAGCACCCTGGAAAGTAAATCCACTTTTTGATTAATATTACTCCAATTGTGAAAGCATCCTAATTCACTTAGGTATTACTCCGATTGTGGAAGTACCCTTTTGTGGGTTTTTGGACCTATTGGTCCGTTAATTGTAGAATTACCCTAAGATTAATTAAAATTAATTAAAATTACTTCCAGTATGAAAGCACCCTTAGATTAATATATTGGTTAATAATTAATAATGGTTCTTGATTTAATTGTTAAAGCACCTTAAAAAGGGGATACTTTTAGAAAGTATATCATTTTTAGAAATATTATTTCTGTTTTGGAAGCATGTTAACAGTAATGAAGCTTTAATAGAAAAATAATGTGACAATAATTGGGAAAGCACCCTTAGAGTAATAGTTTACCTACAATAGGATATCATAGTCCTTAAGGTTAGAACACTCCAAAAAGTACTATTATTTTTAGAATAATGCCAGTAATATTACTTCAATTGTGGAAGCACCCTTAGATTTATGGTTTTTCTACAGTAGCACAATATTATTTCAAGTGTTACAATACTTCAAAGGGTAATATAATTTAATTGTGGGAGCAATTTAAGAGTCATGGTAGTAGTAGTAGAAGAAATAATAATTTAATTGTGGAAGCACCTTTAGAGTTATGGTTTGTCCACAATATCATAACATTATACAATATAAAAATCAAATTATAAAAATGCCCAAAAAAGTAACCGTTGTGTAAGCACCCTAAGAGAAATGATCTTTCTACAATAGAAAAAAGGTAAACAAATTACAATAGAAATATTCAATTAAAAAAAAACACAAAAAGTAAAAAAATTTCCTAAGGTAGTAAACTTTTACTCTAAATGTATCAGCTCCCTGAGACTAATAGCCTTTCTACAATAGACAAAATAGGTAAAATTGCAAAATTAAAATAATTTATTTCTCCAAAAAAAACAAGAAAAATTTGAACCTTATCAAAAAATACAGAAGTAAATAAATAAAAAGTATTTTTAGAAAAAAAAAATATTTAGGGTGCTTTCATAGTTTGATTATTGTTGTTTTATTGTAGAATGACCATTAATCTTAGTGTACTTACACAACTGTTATTTTTCTGGGTTTATGACAATACAAAAATTAAATATTATCAAAATACCCGAAAAAAATAATAATTGTGTAAGCACCCTAAGACTAATGGTCTTTCTTCAATAGAAAAAAGGCAAAAAATTACAATAGAAATATTCAATCTTATAAAAAACACAAAAAGTAAAAAAATTTCCTAAGATACTACATTTTTATTTCAAATGTGGCAGCACCCTAAGACTAATGGTCTTTCTACAATAGAAAAGTAGGTAAAATTGTACGTCATAAATATACAATACAAAAATCAAATTATCAAAATACTCGAAAAAATTTCAGTTGTGTAAACACCCTAAGACTAATGGTCTTTCTACAATAAAACAACAGTAATCAAATTATGAAAGCACCCTAATAATTTTTTTCCAAAAATACTTTTTATTTATTTACTTTTATATTTTTTTTTGCTCAAGTATGAATTTTTCTTAAGAAATTAAATTTTTTTTGAAAAATAAATTATTATTTTGATTTTGAAAAAAAATGCAGTGATCTGCAGGAAAAGAGGGAGGGTGGTGGTGGGGGGTAGGAGTGTATTTTTTGATTTTCGTCAGTGACAAACCTCTCTGGTTCGTTGGAGCTTTGCAAACGTTAACGAAGTTGCGGTTCCAACAGCGCTGGTAGTTATCAGTTTGGTTATCTCCTGTTTAACACCATTGTGTCTCCCGGAGGGCGATAACGAATCAGCACCCGGTAAAAGGGAAAGCCGGGACAATGGCGCTCCAGACACCGTGAAGATTCGGTAATTGAATTATACTCCGATAACCGTT